AAAATTGACCTGGGTCAAATCTGCACTGCATAAACAATGCAGTTTGACACCACTTTGACTGTCATGGCTCCATCCTGTGGAATCCTGGCATTTGTAGTTTGTTGTGGCACCAGAGCTCTCTTGACAGAGAAGGCTAAATGTCTCACAAAACTACAAATTCTGGAATTCCATAGCTTTAAGCCATGGCAGTCAAAGCAGTGTCAAACTGCTTTAATTTTACAGTGCAAATTAGACTCTAGTTTGTGTTACTCCTAGCCATAACAGCTAATTTTAAAAGCTGCAATAGGGGGCAGTTATGTATATGGCCATGTTGGCAGAAGGGATTATGGACCTTATGGTCCAAAAAAGCAACCTTTCCAAGACCTAGCTTTGATAATTTTTTAAAACATGGTAAATGCTTCATCCTTCCTCTCCTTTAAACACACTTGTTAAATGCTTTATTCTTCCCCCTCTCTAAATGCACTTGTGAGGCATGTCTGCAAAATACACAGCCAGCAAAATGCATACTGTCCTTTTGAATAATGGCTCTTCTCCCCAATTTGGAATGGCTCCCAAAAAAAAATTTTTTTTTTTTTTCAAAAACAGCTTGCTATGTGAGGTGTTCTTTGGTGGTCATAAGTCAAAGGCTCCAACCCTAGATGCTCCCATTTGATTCACTTCTTCCCCCACATATGCTTTTTTTCATCTTATCCTCAAAAATAATATTGTTTACCCCTCAAATGCAGGAATTCTGCTCTTCTCCCATCTTTGTACATCTGCTGATAACCAAATCTCAACCTTTCCAAAGCTAGCAGCAGGATTATCACAATTACCTAACCACAAACTCACAAGTGCATTTATAGAGGGGGAAGGATGAAAAGGCATGCTAGGTTGCAGGAGTGGGAAGATGCAGGAGTAAAAATTTTAAGAAACATGCTTTTCTGGACTATACTGGCCATGCTGATGGGGGATTCTGAGAGAGGTAGTCTCCAACAGTATTTTTGCCCAAATCCTGGGACAGAACCAAACATATATACTGGGTACATTACAGAGTAAAACCTCTGGGCATTTACTGGATAATGCCAATTGTTGTGCTGGTATGTATGTGTTAAAAATATATACATTAACCTATTTTTAATTTTTTCTGATTGTTTAGTTATGTTTTAATTTTTATATCTTGTGAATTTTAAACAATTTTTTTAATTGTTGTAAACCAGTCTGGAGAAAAGGCAGGATAGAAATAAATATAATGATAATATACTATAATTATAAATTTAAATTATTATTAATTAATAATAATTCAAATTATTAAATAGTTGGAATATCAGGCTCTGTCATCTTTATTTTCTTGCTCCTCAAATTTCAGCTTTTCTTTTGATGTTTGGAGCAGCTTACTACCCAAAGTGTCTTCCTCTGAATTAGCCAGCAGAGGATGAGGCTTATTATATCACCATTCACTGACTTTTGTTTTCTTTCCTCTCCACCCTCTTTTAATCACCCTTGTCATATAGGTCAGGCCATGGGAGGCACATTGAGTGCCGTTGCAGTGGTGGTGGACCTGGCAGCAGCCTCTGAAGTTACAGACAGTGCTCTGGCCTACTTCCTGACAGCAGACATCTTCATTATTCTGTGTATTGGGATGTACTTAATCCTTCCTAAAATGGAGTACACCAGGTAAATCTTGTTGGGCCATTAGGTCAACCCTCAGCAGGGGACTGAGTGGCTTAATTCCAAAACATCTCTCTCAGGATGCTATGATGCTACCTTTTCAAGAGCTCCTCTCACTATGCACTGCATCCAATGTTGTGCTGTTTTGCTCCCTCCAGACTCAACTTCCTGATTTAATCAAAACCGCACACAGAAACTGGGATTAACTATAGGATTATATTGCTTGGAAATGTTACTTTTTTAGATGAAAAAAAGTATCCTGGAATCTCCCAGTCAGCATAGCTACGAGGGGTCTTTTTTTGATGCAGTCCAAAAAAGTAAATTCTTTAACTTCTGAGGATTTACTACAATGTATGTGCTAATCTTTTCCATTTTGCTGGTGTATCCTGGAGCCTGTATGTCCTCTTTGCACTTTCTCATGGTACATTTTGAAGTCTGCCAAATGCAAAAATAGACAATACATACATAAAACTGACATTATGGTCTTTAATACTGTGACTGTCCTTGCTGGCTTTTGATGAGATACCTTTGTGGAGACAGATGATGGTAATGATAATCATCTTCTGTTTATTCTTAGTTTTTCCATCTTAATGTTTATCTGTTGAAGTGATTGTTGAATTATAGTGCCTTTCTTCCATCTTCATCTTCTTCCAGATACTATATAAAAAGACAGCAGGACATTACACAGTCATCGTGCATCTTGCCTACTGATTATATGGAGGAAGAGGGTGTGGCAGCAGACAACATCAGCCAGTTTCCACTGAATAGAAACTATACTGGAGCAGTGCCTCCCCTGTGGTCCATCCTGAAGAACATCAGTTCATTGGGTTTCTGTGTCTTCTACGTCTATTTCATCTCTATCATCATTTTTCCTGCCATCTCATCCAGCATAGAATCTGTCAACAAGTTCTCAGGGAGTGTGTGGACAAACAAGTACTTCACTCCCTTCACGAGCTTTCTGCTGTACAACTTTGCTGACTGGTGTGGACGCCAGATCACGGCCTGGATCCAGGTCCCTGGACCAAAAAGCAAGTTGCTGCCCACTATGGCTCTGCTGAGGACTTTTTTCATACCAGTCTTCATATTTTGCAACTATCAGCCACGAATGCATGTGACAAGGGTAGTCTTTACCCAGGATATCTATCCAGTGGTCTTCACTGTGCTCCTTGGATTTAGTAATGGCTACCTGAGTACCCTGTCAATGATCTATGGTCCCAAGATCACTCCCAAAGAACTGTCCGAGGCAGCAGGAGTATTAATGATGATGTTCTTGCAGCTGGGGTTGGCTTTGGGGTCAGGCTTTTCAGTTCTTGTTGTCCATCTCATATAGAAGAAGAAACAATTCCAGTCTATTTCTGAACCTCATTGATATCAGGTTATTTTCTGACATTTTCAACCAAACAGACATATGCAAAAGGTAGCCATTTTCTAATTTAGGAGCTGGCCTGAACACTTGCCCTCAAAAGTGAATCACAAAATACAAGGGCCAAATTCACAAGTAATGCAAAATACACAGTTCACAAAACACAGGGGCAAATTCTAGTGTTGAGTCTCTCTTTTCTGGACAATGGGATTATAATAGTGTGTCCAGATATTATGTGGATCCTGTGGACAGCCAAAAAGATAAACAAATAGGCCCTAGAACAGACCAAGAGAGAAATCTCCCTGGAAGCCAAGATGACTTGGCCGAGGCTGTCGTACTTTGGTCACATCATGAGAAGGCACAACTCATTAGAACAGGGGTAGGCAACCTTTCCCCTTTAAGGGCCGAGGGACTTGAGCTCCCAGAAGCCTCAGCCATGTTGGCCAATAGTCCCATGTTGGCCAATAGCTCCTGGGATTCTGGGAGCTGAAGTCCCTCGGCCCTTAAAGGGGAAAGGTTGCCTACCCCGACATTAGAGAAAACAATCATGCTAGGAAAAGTGAGGGAAGTAGAAGGAGAAGAAGGATGCATGCCATATGGATGGACTTTATTAAGGAAGTAACACGTCTGAATTTACAGGAACTAAGCAGAGCAGTGGAGATTAGGGAGTCTTGAAGATGTCTCATCCATGGGTCATTATGAGCCGAGATCAACATGAGGATGGTTAACAACAACGACAATATATGTACAGAAGAACCAATGTGGTATAGTGGTTTGAGCATAGGATTAGGATTCTGGAGATCAAGTTTTGATTCCTGCTCAGCCATGTAAACTCGTTGGGTGATCTTGAGTGAGTCATAACCTCTCAGCCCCAGAAAATCCTATAAAAAGGTCACATTAGGGTTACCATAAGTCAGAAACAACTTGAAGACACACAACAACTGCAGCATGTACAATGGTTTTTTTCACAGGGTTTATGACAAAAGGAGTCACTCATTATTTTGTTAAGGACACTAGGAGATTAAATTGTGGATTCGAATATTTTTATTGCAATTGATCTCTGAATCATTAAAAATAATAGCTTTTGTTCTAGAAGAACTCTTTAAAGGACCTGTTAACTTTACTGCATATTTCTTGTAGGCATTGTATTTTCCCTCTTCAAGGGAAAATGCCTATTAAGCAGCTTCTGTAAAATTAATGCTTCCTGAATGAAGGTTGAAAATGTGTGAGATACATACACAACCATAGGGAAGCTATGTTTAAATGGAGGGAATCATGGAGTAATGCTGGATAAAGTACAACATAAAGCAGTAATACTCCAATGTGTATTCTTAAGCAATTATTGATGATAGTTATAAAGCTGAGTGCTAAGGAACCCAAGTTAATCAGCGAAGGAAAATGCAAAGACTTCACGTATTATCAGAACTATAAAAAGTACAGTTGTTACAAAATGGGAAGTGGCATAGGGTATGTTTTATCACTCAGTTTTTTACAGGAATGTAGCCTAGCTAGTTTGTACCTTTCTATCCTGAAATTGTTTTGTGCTCACTCTGAATACCATCTTTTCAGAATATACCCAAATTACTGTCCATAATAAATTTGAAGTGCGGGGAGGAAGGGGGGGATCTAGTGGCACTTTAAGACTGATTTATTTTGAAATCAACGTTCATCATTTTCAATCTACCTGTCTAGATGCACTGTGATATATCACAGTATTCCAGACATAGGCATTTAAACACAGTTGCATAGTTGTGGGGATGGGACTAGAATATGATAGGTTATAAAAACATGCAACTTGTGACATATACCTTCAGAGGGATTGTGTCAGATGATCCAGGTCTGTCCAGCAGTTGGTCTATGGGTCTCAAGGGATCAAAGCAATACACGCTGTTTAACTGAAAGTTTTGACAAAGTACAACATTTTATTGAAGATTATTCTTTTGATATATATGTACCTGTTATTGAAACCAGCATATTTAGGTAGGTATGAGCCAGTGTTGTGTTGTGGTTTAAGCACTAGACTACAGCTCTGGAGACCAGGGTTCAAATCCCAGCTCAGCCATGTAAATACACTGAATGAACTTGGGTAAGTCACACTATCGTCTTCAGAAGAAGGCAATGGCAAACCCCTTCTGAAGAAATCTTTCTGAGAAAATTCCATGATAGGTTCACCTAAGGATTTCCATAAGTCAAAAATGACTTGGGGCATACAACAACAACAACAAAAAGATAGATAGGCAGGCAGACAGAGTGGCTAGAAATCATTCTGTCTTTTCATAACTGTTAATAGATTATAATTTGTAAATATATATCCCCATTCTTTTCCCAATGTTCCCTTGATTTTTTTTTTTCTGTTTCAGAACAGGTACCTCAAGGTATGAATCCAGGGAGATTGAAAAGTGCTGAAACTGGTGGTGGGGGGAGTGTATTCATGTCTAATATTAAATCTGTGTTCATTTATTTCAATCTCTTTCTAAAAGGAAAGATCACTCTGTTAATTTTTTAACCAAACTCAAGCCCTACCCCTGCAAAAATTAGAAAAACTTGAGGTACCTGTAGCCGTACAGAGGGCGTTAATCCAGAGTGCTTTTGTTGAAGATAGGAATGACATTATACTCAAGGAGGATTCACTGTGAGAATAGAACAAGGCTTTATAGTGTTATGATGGAGTCACTTCCTTTATAAGGTTAGCCCAGGGGAAAGAAACTTACAGGAGAGAGCTGACATATTGGAGAAGATATTAAACATCTACCCCCTCTTAAATATTCAAAGGGATCTTGTAGCACCTTTGAGACCAATTGAAATAAAGTAGTAGGTAGCAAGAGTTTTTGTAGAGTTGAACCTACTTCCTCAGATGCATAAAACATGTAGGCTCAAGCCTACGAAGTATGAAGTAAGTAGGAAGTAGGCTCAAGTCTAGAAAAACTCATGCTACCAACATCTTTCTTTCAGTTAATCTCAAAGGTGCTACAAGATCCCTTTGCATACTGATTTTCCAGATTAACATGGCGATGACTTTGAGTTATGCACCCTCTAAGCTCTGTATTTTGTTTTTAATCAACTCTTGAAAGATTTAGAAACTGGGAGAAAGCCTGGTAGGAGAGGACGGCCTCTGGGGTCCTTTGCATCAGTGAATCAGTGAATAGGAGAATGGTTGTACCTGTTCACTCATCTATTCTCCCAGGCAAGTTTCCCAGTCCCTCATTTCCTTTATATCAGGAAACCGGCTGCAAGCCAAGTGCCTATTTACCTACTAGTAAGCCCCATTAAACTCAGTGGGAATTAAAGTACAATCCTATATATGTGTGCTTAAAAGATGCCTCTGTGACTGTTTAATTGACAGCATTGAATCCTGTTAACGTTAATCTTGTGCAATCCCTGCCTCTAAGAACTGTGGTCTTTGTGAAGAGTATTTACTTATAAAAATTAACGCAGCATGGGGTGATAGAATATACTTCCAGCGCTGTGGAACTCTCTGCTTTTTTAGCTGAGAGAGCTGGATAGTTTTAAAGAAAGGGATTTGCTGAAATCCAGAATACTATTCTGGGTAAACAAAAGCATTCTGGAGGAGGACACATTTGTTGTTAGATGTCATAAGCTTATTTTAATAATTGTGTTAAAACTACAGTGCTAAGTCAGTTTCATGCAAGTACAGCAAGTCCATATGCACTTATATTAGAGTAAAACTCCAATGAAAACAACAGCACTTGTTTCATGAATAGACCTGTCTTGGGACAGTGATGGGAACAAAGCAAAACTGTGGTTACCCATTTGTATATTGGTCAAATTTGAAGTGACATTTCAATAGGTTTCCAAATTGTTTCTAATATTTAAATTCTAAAGAAGTACTCAACATTGTTCTAAGCTGACCTCAATTTTTCCTGTTGTCAAAGTAATTCTTTTGCAGGCTTGGTTAAGCACTAAAAATTATTTGGGTTTCACATGTGTTGAATTTCACCTGTTTCATGTTTGGCAGTTTACTATATGCATAACATTTATGGGTAGAGAAAATGACTGATGTGATGAATCCAACATTGGTTTGTTTAGCTGCATTTCCAGCATAGGTGGGCAACCTTTCCCCTTTAAGGGCCGAGGGACTTCAGCTCCCAGAAGCCTCAGCCATGTTGGCCAATAGTCCCATGTTGGCCAATAGCTCCTGGGATTCTGGGAGCTGAAGTCCTTCAGCCCTTAAAGGGGAAAGGTTGCCTACCCTGGTACTAGAGGAAAGGAGAGTGCTTTTACTGATCAAGTGACTTCCTGCTTGGAACCTGTTGCTAGTATTAAATAAAGGAAAAACTGGAGGATGCTGCACATTTTAAGATAACAGTTGTAGAGTAGGCTAGGGAGACTAAACTAAAAACAAAACAACATTCTCTTTCTTGTCAACTTGTTTGAGACCTCTTTTGCCAGGCTCCTTAGAAATGTATCCAAACTGTACAGGAACAATACAGGGGACATTAAGGTAGGAGAAATTATAGAGCTAGGAAAATTACTTTCTTGGGGTTACAGTTCCCAGTATCCACCCTGGCAACATGGCCACTGTCCATGCTGATTTGAGGGATTGTGGAAGTGATTGTCCAGAAAGCCACTTTTATGAGCTCTTTATACCATCAGAACTCCACACCAATGGCACAGCTCAGGTGATAGAGACCTTGGGCCTTTCCAGACTGCCAGAAATAGTGCAAATTGAGTCCATTTTAAGGGTTAGGGTTAGTGCTAGGGAATCATGGGAATTGTGTTTTTTTTCCCTGAGACATTGAGCCTTCTCTGTCAGAGAGCTCTGGTGCCACAATAAAATACAGTTCCCATGATTCCCTAACCCTAACCCTTAAAGTGGACTCAATTTGCACTATTTCTAGCAGTCTGCAAAGGCCCCTTGTCTGCATGGATGATTTACCCTGAGTTCTTTCCAGGCTCATTGCATCCTGCTTACATGATGCAGGACCGAACTCCCAAATTGGGTCTGGACTGTCTTGATGATGCCCACACCCAATTTGGGGCTTCCTCCTCCTAACCCACATTTAAATAATTAACCTTTGTTGCAGTTTTCTTGTGGTTTTTCAGAAATGATGGCAGCTGCCTTTTCACTCGTGGTCCCAGGGTCACTGCTGCAGATGGGAGACACTCTGCCATCAGAAGGAGGCACCCAGCATTGATAGCGTGGCTGGGAACGCTTTTGGATCTCAGCAACAGTGCCAGGCAATAAACAGGGACTGCGTGGGAAGGCAACTGCCCATGATCACTGGGGAAAAGAAGCGATAAACTGCAAGGTTAAGGGGGGGGATTTGGGGGCAGAATACTCTGGTGGCAGCTGGAGTATTCTAGCAAGTGTACATGAGCCCACAATTCTCTAGACTTTGTTTCTGCCCTTAAAATGACAAGCCTCTGCTGCTCAGTATTTTAACACTTGGTGTTTTGTCGCTGGGAAAAATATCTGACGCATTTGCCAGTATTAGCATCGCACATCATGATGTTGAAATGTTGGCTTTTGTTAACTGCTACCATCCAAAAGATCTTTTAAAATTCATATCTGGTACCTGTGGTTTCCTATCCTTTCTTTTCCTTTTCTATTTATTTTTTTACCCTCCTGCTGCTAAATACCACAGGATCTAAGGAAGAACGTAGATAGCAAACCAGCAAAATTGACATCAGGAAATCAAGATGGAGCACCCTATACTTGTATTTGCTGTTTGGTTTGGGATCACTAGTAAAGCGCACAGAAAATAGCTTCGTAGATAATTTACATGAAACAGAGGTATAAGCTGAACATTTACTAGGCATGTGTTAGATGGCGAGCAATTTTATGGTTTGTGATATGCCATTGTGTAAACTGGAAATTGTAAGTGAATAGTTATTCCATTAAGAAATCCTTCAGCCTTTGCTACATGAATTTATGGCATAGACCGACTGGCTTAGTCTCGTCATTCTTATTTGCTTTTCCATTGGGAAGCACTTTATGTTTCTCTAGAGGCTCTTCCAGATGTAACAAATATTTTGGGAAGTGATATTTGTTGCTGTACATCCACCTTTTTTAAAATTCCAAATGATGTTTTGCCAACCATGTGATATTTCTGGCAATTTCCCTTCCTTTTCTTTAGTATTCTGAAGTATTTTATTCTTCTCCAAAGATGTTTTTAAAAACCCACCATATCAGTACATTTATTCATCCTGTAAATTGTAGCAATCAAAGTAGGTATGTCCAAACTGTCACCCCTTCCATATTTTCAGGATGTTTCCACACTCTTCCCTATTTCTATTCTGCCAATGTCTCCTTTTAATATTGTTTGTTGTTGTGTGCCTTTAAGTCATTTCTGACTTAGGATGATCCTATCAGAGGGTTTTCTTGGCAAGTTTCTTCAGAGGGGGTTTGTCATTGCCATCCTCTGAGGCTGAGAGAGTGTGACTTGCCCAGGATTACCCAGTGGGTTTCCCTGGCTGAGTGGGGATTCGAACGCCATTCTCCAGAGTCATAGTCCAACATTCAAAACAATACACCATGCTGGGTCTCTTCCCTTTAATTCCCCCCCAAAAAAAACAACAACACCTTTCCAGAATCTGAATAAAGCAGTAGAATCCTGTGAAAGATCAACCCCCCAATACACTCATGCAAATTTCAAATTGGGTTGAAATGGTAAGATTTAGAAAAGTAGCGGCGTATCAGAGGAAGCTTTTCTCAGATTGATCAGTAACTCCATATGAGGATTGATCTTTCTGGGTATGGAGGGCCTACTGTTTCTTTGTTAAGGTGCTAGAGATTTTTAGTTTTAAAAAATTCTAGAGTTATAGTGCAAAAGTGTTGAACTTTAATAGCGCTGTGTTTGTTTTCTTGGAGCAAAATCTCTCTCTGTCTCCCTTGCAACACATCTGGGGAGGTGGAGGTGAACACCACCCACATCTAACTTTACCATCCAAGCGAGAAGCTCACAAATTAACTGAAATGTGGTACCTTTCTGTTGAAGGTTTTTAAAGTCAGGAGCACATCTGGATGGGAAAGCAACATGAAATGTTAGGAAGTATCAAGAAGCAAAATTAAACATTTCAGCATAAATCAGCACAAATCAT